AAAAAAAAAAAAAACGTTCCGCGAAGAGTACGTCGAGGCATGAAATCCTTGAGAAAGTACCGGTACAAGAGCTTTCTGAGTATACTTTCGAACGACCGACGCAAATAAGAATTAAATAAAAAGTACCGTTTTTGAATGTAAAACTCGGCATAATATAATATTTTTTGCACATCAATCTTGGTGCATCAAAAATGAAACGAAAAATTGCCCCTTTTACAGGCTCGACGTCAGATAACATCCATTCTCTCAATTGACAATCAGATACATTTGATGACTCTGGTCGAGCTCAGTTTACTCGTTCAATTTCTTTATGCACTTGTAAAGGGGATATAAAGATCCTAACCCATTTGTCCATGAACTTAATATCTGGTTTTAGGTGTTTTAAAAAGGAAATTTCACTTGAAAGTCTAACCACGTATTTGAGACATCAAATTCAAAATGTCACGAAATATGAAACACCCCCTGATTTTTGAGACCAATATTCGTGAATATACTCTATTTCGTATTATGTTCGTATTGAAGATACTGCATATGGGAACATGTAAAACATCCCCGAGTCTACGAAGCGCTTTAATTTTCAGCGCTCTATATGAACAGAAAACATTTTTTTGGACAATCTGAAACATGCCTTATTTTTTTTAAATATGAATCTAGCTCTGAATTTTAAGCACATTTTTTAAAATGTAAAATTTTTTCGGTTGAAACTCTTTGAACATTTTTCAAGGCCAAGTCAACTGGAGTGAATCATTCGTAGACGATAAAAAAAAATGCTGGGCGGAGAAAAAATACAGTGCAGTCACCAAATGTTTGTTTTTGTTCGCGTCAAAAATGCGGATGAATTCATTTATTATTATATAAACGGAAAGAAAATGTGGCAAACTGCAGATGATGTGAATTATTCCGGGTTGTTTACAGACCTGCCAGCGAGGCATCGCCATTCCGGGTCGCTGCGACGATTCTTCCCGTACGGGTGACACGACGATCTCCAAGGAACTGCGCTGCATTCGGAAATGGCTCCAATATTCAGTATCCTCGTTCTGACAGACTCCACTTCTGACGGATGGAACCTGCAATGACATCAACAGATGAAATAAAAATTAGATGAATTCCCTTTCACGGAAGCCATACAAACAAACGTGCTTGAACAACAAAAATATAATCATAATATCAACCAATCAGAGAAGAAATCGTGCGAAGAAAACGACTTGCAAAATTAACAAATTTCAAAATTCTTACAACATACGTTCTGAAGGAACCAGTAAAACAACGTATTCATTCGAGAAAATATGACGATATCGTCCAGTTTTTCAGACAGAAAAAGAAGCTTATCCCACGTGAACTTGATACTGTGAAGACCACTTTCTCAGCCATGTGGAACTTATATGCTGTGGATTAAAAATCGCAACGCTTTTTTATAACGAGATCAGCTGCAGTCCCTGAATACAATTAATTTTAGAAATAAATTGGAAAGATAGTATCACTTTAATTTATTTAAAAGTAAGTACCCCGAAAACCCCATGCTATTCTCTTAAATCTGCTCGTTTAGGGAAAATGTTTTCAGATCTCCTATTAATTTGAATAGCCCATTTCTTTCGCATTTGGTTCAAGTCGCTCGATTGATTCATTCTAGGATGGAGAAAATTACGCACGAAGTGCACGATCATGTAAAGGTTATGCATCCAATAGGAATCAAAAATCAATTGGCAGTTTTTCTAGTTCAGATCACCATTGATTTCCATAGACGTACTCTGATTATTTTAACCCAAAACCGGAAATAAAAATATCATATCCGCGTGACTTTGATGCATTCTTAAGCGACATGATTTGTTTTATGATTTGGAGTGTTATTGTCAAACACGCGTCTATACTCCTTATCTCTCGACGATCCATCTGAGTGCATTACTCACTCGGAAAGCATAAACTTTGACAAAAGCTCAAACAATCATTCGTTCTTCTTTTCTAAACAAAAAATTTAGCTATATATGAATGCGTTACACGCTCAACGGCGCGCCCTTGTTCAGCTGCTGCCTGCGGCCTGCGGGGAACTGCAGATCTGACGGTCGACCTCTACCGCTGCCGCTGCCTCTCGGCGACACCGACAGCGATAGCCCCACAGACGCCGGCAAGGACACTGACGAAGTGGCGGCGCTGTTTGTCATGGCGGACGTGGAAAGTGCCTCTAGTCGGTCCCCGAGCTGCTTCCGCACCATCAGCACTTCCGTGTCCGAGCCCACACTCAAAGCTCGACTGACGAACTCGCAGCTCGACCGGATCTCGGAAAGATACTCGGAAAGTTCCTCGGATTGGTCCCCTGATATGAATAAGGCCGCGTGAAAACATGCGAATCTTTCAAAACCTTCCATTCGTAATACATTTTATAATTATAGACACCTGGTAAACTCAAGCCTGTCTAATTCGAATTCCAAGGGACCAACAAAAGAAAAGCTCAATACCTTCAAAGCTTCTTTTCTTTGTCATAAAAAAGCACCCTTTCTTTTCTCTAGATGTCCTTTAACATTTGCCACTATAAGACCCAGAATTTAAAGAAGAATTTACTGAACTGCCAAAACGTGTGTTGGTTTTCTCTTTCCTCTGTCCAGAAAAAAAAAGCCAAAAGGACTTAGAAAATTCGAGTTACGGAGGTTTGAGCCTTCAAGTTGAAGAGGTTTTTAATGCATTTTTTCCAAGGGAATTCAGTGAGTGGACTTGAAAAAATTTGACTAAAGGAGGTATTCGACTTAAAGAGGTTCAAGTTATCGAGGTTTAACAACGTAACTGCTGATAGAGAGCATCTTCGACTAAAAACAATATTTATACACATACAAGCACTTCTTTTTTTCAAATCAATATCACAAATTGTTTTTATCAAACGCAACCCCAGCCCTTTCAGTTAAAACATTTTCCATGCAGAGGCTTTCGCGAATTTGCGTTTTGAATTTTCAGGCAGGTAAAATTATTTTTTCAGAACATGCTTCGAACGATTCCTCAATAAAAAGATTATTAAATTGATATTTTAATCGTTCGAAAAATTCTTGAAAGCAATAAATTCATTACATCGGAACCCAAGAAATATTGTCGCGATTCTGCACGGGAAATGCATTTCACGTACAGTATTTGAGTGAGAATCCACTGCAATCATATCGAAATCATCACTTCTAACGAGATTCGACTGCTGTGTTAAAAATGGTGTTTCCAATACATTTTAATATCCCGGCTTTTCAATCGGTGGGATCCAAGCCATATATGATGAATGATGAGTTTGCCAAATATCAATAGAAATTGTTATTTTAAAGAAGAGCACTGTGAGTGCATTCGTGAAAAATCTATACAGTATTTTGAATTGATGTCTTCTAATCAAAGTGCTACAGTGGTACACCCAGGAAGTTCTCTGGAATGCATGTTCGTGTGCCAAGTGTACTGTATTTGAATCCACAGAAAGGTTGAAAACACCTTGCGTTATATTGTTCAGGGATATTCTCCGAAATATTAATTTTTTTTTTTGATTGAATGATCTTAAACACGAGGAAACTCCTGTTTGACTGCTGTTGCAGTTACATTCCGATTGATGAATTTAATATTTCAGCGGGATTGACAGATTTTTTTTCAGAAATTTCATTTCTAGTGGGATTAGCGAGTTTAAACCTCTTTCCACGAACTTCAAACTGTTCGTGAAATGCCCACCAGAGGGACAATAGATTAGATCCAAACTTGGGGCGATCTTGCGTCGATAATTTTTGAAAATCTCAAGGAAATATTTGTAAAAATTTTTGAAATATTAAAAAAAATTTAAGGATGACTCACGGAGACTCTCGGATTTTGTTTTGCACGCAGAATCCAGGGCATCAAGCAACTGGTTCTGCCTCGTTTCCAGGGCTGCTTGCAAGCCTGCGAAAGACATCGTGATACTATGCTCTGCTTCATCTCGTGAAAGGTGAAGCTGCGACAAGGTTTCAGAAACACCTTCAAAAGCCGACTCCAACAATGGCACCTACGACGAAAGAAAGTGCGATGATCATCACATATCTTATGTTAGAATAATAATGCACAATACATGGGCATAAGTACCGTATTTACTCGAATCGTACCACGCACCCTAAAGAAAGATGCGCATCAGTGTTTTCCAGTCAGGAATTTCGGTGAAAATCCTATCCTCACGCAAGAGGGGCACCCGCCATTTTTCATGACTCCGAAACCATAATATTTCAAAAAAATAAATTCCCAAATTTGTATTTACACACAAATTGAACATGCATTGAACTAATTTTGATTTGTTTCCATTAAAATACTCTTTTCTATTAAAACTTGGTCAAAATTACACCTTAGAAGCAAGTGTAATCTACACGGAAATTTCTAAAACTTTTTGAAAAATTTAAAATCACAATATACCCACATATGACGAGCAACCCATTTTTTTTTTCTCAAATTTGAGAAAAAAAAGGTGCGCCTGGTATTCGAGTAAATACGGGTATAAGTTCTTTCAGCCTCGGGCATGTCGTGTTTTTCTAGATTAGCTACATTTTTTCGTAGTGAAGCCCAATAATTTCAAGATTCTTGTTATAATCTACATCATCCAAAATGTGATGGAGAAAATATAGAGTTGAAAGTTTAGCAGCTCGATCTAACTAGACCATCTCTGGGAAGAAAAAATTTGTTTCATTAATACATGGGGTATATGAAGTGCCGCAAGATGTTCGAGTGATCGTCGTTACTGACGAATCTTCGTGTCAAAATTGCTCCCAAGTTTAAATCGCAATAAAGGTAAGAAGTTTTTCAAATGATCTCGTCGCAGTAAATTTTGAACAAGTGAATAGTGGACGTTGATTCAAGTCCTTTCGTTAACCCCTTGACTCAGAATCTATGGGACCCAAAAGAAACCATATATCCAGTCACCAACGAAACTTTCTCATCCCCTCTATTTAAAGCAACTCGGTTTACGGTTTCTTTGAAATCCCCGAGCAGGTCTTTAGCTAAAAGACTCTATGTTGTATATAGTTTCGTTACAAATGATTCCGGACGCGTGCGACTCTCGCTCGCAGTAAACAACTGGTATCCGACAGAGTGTAATTTTTACCTTCTCCGAATGACACGCAGAAAGAGTTGAAACTAATCGGCTTAGACTGAGTAACGAGATGCAAATACCTTGCAAAGTACTCGGTCTAGCAGCTGTCGCAGAGCAACCCGATGCTCCATCACAGCGTGATGCAACCTGGCCGTGTTGTGGTGACGGTGTTCGATGTCAGTGCAACTGATACATATCGCAGACTCGCAGTCGCGACAGTAAAATCTCAAGCGCTGACCTGAAACAGAGGAACACGCACCGAAGAAACAAATCAATTAGACGTGTACTAGGCTGTGCACCACGTTTGTTTTGTTGTAAAAAAAAAAAAAACGAACGAGTAGACAATTAATTTTCAGATGTACTGTACTGAAATGTTTTCTAACGCGTGGGGGAAGTGCAACAAATGATTGGTTGTACATTTCCGACATGGATGTAAATGCTGAATGGGTCGAAGAAATAGCCTCAAATAAATGAAAAATTTTCAAAACATATTCTTGCTACTGTACGCAGTCTGAAAATTAATTTGTTCCGATACCAACTTTTTTTTGTGGAACATCCATTCTGCGATTATCGCTTTTCCTCAAGGAACAATATGAACCATTAATTCATCCCTGAACATGAAAATTTACTGTACGCAGTCTGAAAATTAATTTGTTCCGATACCAACTTTTTTTTGTGGAACATCCATTCTGCGATTATCGCTTTTCCTCAAGGAACAATATGAACCATTAATTCATCCCTGAACATGAAAATTCCACGAGTGAAGAAATTGACCTGAATAAGGAAGCAACTTGAAGACAAATTCCTGGTAATGTGCGTAGGTCATCTGAAAAATTAGCTTGTTCCAATAAAAATTTTTTTTGGGCAAAACTTTGATTTTGCGATTCTATTTTCCCTTAAGGAACAATATAATACAGTACACTATTTCATCTCTGAACATAAACATTGCAAACATTTTTATGCAATTTTTCTGTTCAGAAAAATGGCATAAAACATGGAAAATTTTCATAAAGTAAAAACTTAGAGCCTCACCAAGTTTTTTTTAATCACTGCCTTTTTTTCAAACGATTTCTTTAGCCTTATTTTTAGAACATTTTTCAGAAATGTTTTAGCTTCACTTTGTCAAGTTCTGAGAAACACCGTAGAATAAATTTTCTTTTCGCCTTTCGTTGGTCCGATTTTTCAAATAACAAAATACGAAGACAGCACTTCCAGACAGTTCTCCACAAAAGCCGTAAATATTAAGAATAATGAAGGGGGATTCAATTTTCTTCATTTTCGAGCAAGACGTTGTTGATAGGCGAAGTTCATCCCGGGAAGTACCCTTACTGAAAATTAAAAAAATGAATAAAAATTCGGGTTAGGCCTCCGTTTAAAATGGTGACTTTTTTGTCTTTGCCCGTATATTGAAGTTCGATGCATGAACAGCCATTCGAACTATAAAAAAAAAGTCAATGGACAAGAATTAATCAACACATCAGGTAACTTGAAGTTCAATAGGCACTGCATTCTAAAAAAAATGAATTGTAAATCAGATTTTCAGAGAAGTAATTTATTCGGTATTGCATACTTGTAAAAAAAAAAAGCGTTGGATCAACGTCATGATAAAATGGCGTACGAAAGTGCGTAACAATTACGGATAACTTTTAAAGAAATTATTATAAAACCATACTCGACGAACGTTAGTTTTTTCTTAAATCAAGGAGCATAATCAAAATTAAATACACGTGATTGATTGATCGAAAAGGTTTTCTGCCATGTACCCTTCCCTCCTTGTTGTTGAAAAGTTATTTTCTTCACGTCCCTCACGCAAAACTTCTGGCCTCATCAGAAGTCCTCCGCAAATCCACGGGTGTTCGATCGATAAAAACAAACACGAATATAAAAGCTCCGAACTGATCGCTTCTGGGAACTGTATTAACCTTCAAAGCTGTTTATATTGCAAATTGCATTCATCTAAGGGGTCTTTTATGTCAGATTATTACGATTCATATCTCTGATACGAAGAGAAGTTGTCGGAAACGTCGGATGATGGCTGAGCTCAGCGAGTTGCGTTTAGCTTCGTTCAACGCGATTTTCTGTTTAATAAACAGCTGTTTAATAAAGTCCATATGCGCCATGTTTTAATCTGAGGTCAAGGTGAAATATATTCATGAGGAAGGAATCATTTTGCTCCAGAATACAACCCAAAATAGGTTTTCAGCGGATTCAAAATTCAACATCTGGTCACGAATCTTAGAGATTTGTCAGATGAAAAAGCATCTGGGCGACTAAAATGATAGAATCGGATTATTTAATGCTTTACTGACTCGGAGCCTGCTCAAAATTTTGAAAAAAGCCCTTCCACGTGAAATTCAAAATTTCCGTTCCACTAATTTTTGGAGTACGATAAATCGAGCCTGAGAACATTATTATTTGCCCAAGACTTGAACTCGCCAATTTATTTCACCATCCGTAGACGCTCGCGAACATTTTCAAAGAAGCCTTAAAAAATTAAAGTATTCTGTCTTTTACATGAATACATTCAATTAAGAAACCATCTATCGTGCCAAATCACGAATTTGAACACAGATTGAAGCGTTCTTCAGTTCGTTTTGAAGACTATACAAGGGATTTTAAGCTCTAATTAAAAAAACTTTCCATGACGGATCAATCGTGAACTTGAATTTTATTGTAGCATTTCCGTATCCAACTGCTTTACGATTCTTTGCAACCTGGCTAATTATCTAGGTGCAATCCGGATTGAATTTTAAATTGCCTGAATTATCGTGTTTCAAATTGACATCCTTATCCCTTATTAGGATCATAGGAAAAACAATTACAAAGTAGGCTTCATGTAAGATTTTTGAAATTCTAACAGCCATTTAAACCATCTCTAGAATAAAGCCAGCATATCCATCATTCATCTAGGTTTAGGATGACTATATATAATCGAAATTCAGATTGGAAATGTAGAAAGGAATTTGAGACCTTATCAAAAACATTCCTTTCTTCTAGTGCGTGTTTGGCCTTCAAAAGATATATTCCGCTTCCATGTGCTTTCTCCATTTATTTTCCTTCCAAGCGAAGGACTTTCCGCCGCACACAATTGAAAATGAAAATAAAAAAATATTCTGTGAGAAAGGTTTCCTTGATTCATCCCAATGATTATTGGAATTCTTGAAAAACAGGAAGCCTCAAGTACTTACCGGCATGACTGGGGCAGTACAAGTACGGCTCGGTAGAATCTTCGCACGCGTGCACTTCCGACAAAGGAGCCACTCGATGTGGATCTCCAGATGCTCTAATCTCGTTCTGTAAGCAGGAAAAATCATCAAAAAGGTATAAAACCAAAGGGTTATGACAAAAAACACTCCATTTCTCAATGTACAGGGCTTCTCTGCAACGTAGTACTGTACCACAGAGTCAATAGGAAGACAGAAAACCACTTTCTTTGCAAGCGTTTCCCTCCTTTTTTGGTGTTGTTAATCGAAAAAGCATCACGTTTTGTCACTGAACGAAGTCGACGTCAAGTTCCTTGGGTTCATAAATAACAAAGCATAAGGTAGATTGGTTCAGAGTTTCAATGTGTTTCGTGAACTCGCGAAACTTTGTTGGGACTTATTTAATTTTAAATCAGAATCACGCTTGATCATCGGATCATGAAACGATATTTCAAATTATTAACTGCGCATAAAACCCGAAAAAATCCATTTGGAGATTGATTACCCATGGATGTTTTCTCCATTTGATTTCCCGAGTCGACCGAAAAGGCAAAGTACTGTATTTCGAAAAACGAATGTATCTTTCGGAAAACGTATTTTAACTTGGATGCTTTATTGAAACACAAGTTCCGTACGGCCCTTTACAAAAATAATTTGCATGGGAATAAGTACTTCAATACCTATAACATTTGATTTCTTTGAAATTGATAAGCTGTTGTTTCTGATCGAGCTTGAATTATGAATTCAATCTCTCATTCCAACGGTTATCATGATTTCAACTCGTGTGCCCTTGAACTGAAAATGAACGTACAGTATGCACATTTTCCAAATCGGTTTCAGACAATTTTATCCAGAAGATCGTGTTAGCCTGGAAGAACTATGAACTGAACCTAAAAATCGAGAATGATGTTGAATGAAAGATTCCGTCGTATTCAAGACGCGCCCTGATTTTCAATACATGACTCACTTTTTTCACAGAAATTGAATAAACAAATGCAAGTTAAGAGTCAGGTTCAAATATGATACTCGAGTCCCACGCGCACTTTTCCAAAAAAAAAAAAAAAGGATAAAAAGGTTCACGTTGATTATTTGAATATGAATTGAGGTGCGGTTTTGGAGAGAAACTATAATTCTTCTTCTTTAATTATTGTTTTCATCTTACACATGGGATTGATGGAAAGGCGGGGCTTTGCAAATGAATACGGGCAATGAATAACTCGTGAATTATCGCACCTGAGAATGAAGCTCGGCACAGTCGTCGCACAGGTATCTCAGACAGTCCAAACACTTGAACGTGGACGGCGTCCCTGAGTCAGACTCGGACGACTCCTCCGACTCTTCTGAATTATTCGACGGGCACTCGGAACCCACTGACGACAGCTGATCATCGTCGTCTTCCATTTCCGAGCCAAGGCTGTCGGTGCCGTTCGTCATCCGCGTCGCCGTGTAGCCGCCACCACCACTGCCGCCGCCGGGTTGTCGGTGCTGGCGGCGGTCGGTGCTCCCGGTGTTGTTGACACCCGGCGGCGCCTTGGCCGACACTCGCTGCTGGTGCTTGTCGGTCCGCGACGACGAAGGCGGCTGTGGCGGATCTCGGATGCGGATCCGCAACAGTTGCTCGTGGCATTCGCAAGGGTATATTTCCCCTTCTTCCTCGACGACTTCCAACAAGCTCGTCATGTAGATATTGGTCTGGAGGCCGCTGACCTGGATGCAAAAATTCATTTTGGCAAGTGTAAAGCACGGATAATTGCCACCTGGTTTAATGGATTTTTTCAGCGCAATTCACTGATGAGGTGCCAGTCTGAGACTAATTTGTTTTCGTCAGACAGTGACCCAGCATGCTTCGATCACTTTACAATGAAATAGACGTGGTTTTCCTTCATCGAAGTTGCTGTAAAGAAAGGGGGCCTGCCAGCCTTTTTTAAGAAAAGAGAAAAACATTTTTATATTCTTCCTTGGGCATTTTTCCTTTTTGAGAGTGCTTTTGCTGTTATGTGATGATATTAAATGTTAGAATTGTTTGTAAGTTCTTCTGCGTTGAAAATTTTAGAAGGAACTGGAGGGGATCAACCATATAGACTTGTATGATAGCTTGTTTTTACTCGATTGTTTTTTCTCGAATGGACTTTCCATAGGAATATTTAATATGAATTTTAATCATCACTTTCGTCGCCTCAGGTCGGCATAACGCGACAGCAGAACAAAAGACGTATATCTGTGACAATCGCTAAACATATAAACCTCTACACAATTGAGAAGTTTTTGAACAATATAATTGAAATATGGAAGGCAAAATACATTATGCTTCCACGTTCGTAAAAGCTGCACGTTTGATTTCCGAGACTCATTGCAGGAAAAAAATTTGTTCAAGGAAGAAATGAAATATTCTGGGATTAATGAAGAAAAATACAGCATACCTATACTTCAAAAATAACACCTCAGCTGTGGCAGGAAAATATTAATATTTATCCAAAAAAAGGGTGAAGAATTCATAGTCGTTAAATTTGTCTGACACGTATTGAAAAGAATCAAGCGCATGTGATATCCCGAAGCCAAATTATATGCTCATAATAAATAATCTGAAATTATCGCAACATTTCTAGAAATGTTTGCCGTTGTTCCGTGAATACAGTATATTCAATGCAATCGAAACCACGGAATGAATTTCCAGACGTTCTTCATGATCAACCTGAACCAAATCATTTTTACCTCCCCTCATTACTTCCGATTTCACCCAATCGCCGAAACCGGAATGAAACCTTGCATGTTCATCACTTCAAACATTTCTATTTTTCAATATTGAGTTCCTGAAAAAGTAAGGAACAAAATGCAAGTGCCGATATATAGACGAGTAAGGACGGCAAGATCATAAACTAGAACTTTTACAACTGCATCTAGTTTCACTATAGTCCTCCCGACATTCCTCAAGCCTGCCAACGTTGTTAACTTTTATCGGAAAATGCAGAGATAAAAAGTTACTAAATGACGATCAGAGATTCGTTGCGTTGATCTTGAGATTTCTTTCTTTTTTATATCTAATATAACATGTGTATAACCGAGTATAGAAGCTGTCAGCGTTGATTCTTTTGTTCAGGTTTTCCTGTCTGTCGACAGTTTCGTCACCGACCGCTTCATGCACGCGGAAGTGCGGTTATCACTCAGACTTGAACCCCAGTTTCGCGGTTATCAGTTCTCGGTCTTTTGATGGTTTCTCACGAAGTGGGTGACTATGAATAATGGTCTGCGATTCGAACAAGTTTTTCAACAAGATTCTTTTGCTTAAAAAAATCCATTCACACGTGGCATCGATTTTTGAAACAAGAACGCTGATATTCTCTGACGCTCTGCAAACGAAATCACGACCGAATTCGATCTTCTTGACGACAATTTCCAGACATATTTTGCTAGTTGTTCTCTTCTGTCAAGGTTTTCAAATTTACAAATTTGCTTCTTTAGACTCTTCGTCCTTCTCTCGACCTAGTTTTCCATGATTCCATGAGTTGAACTCAATAAACTAACATTTTGTGCAAATTTTTGAATAGACTTAGCGAAAGCCCTTTGTTATCTGAGCGCAAGACGTTAGAAGTAATTAATGGTTCACGCTTCTTGTTCAACGAGGTTCTTATTATCTTCAACAACCGTGGAAGAGTATTTCCGACCTTAGGTTATGACGTACTAGAGAATCTCCATAAAAATTTGAATACTTTATTCATATTATCATCACGAGATACCGCCGCACTATGGACACGCAGTTTCATACTGTGATACTTCACAACCTATTTTCAGAAAATGTTTTCTTTGTAAGAACGCTTCTTCTTTGACAAACTTTCACCAATCATCGCATGTTTGACGCATTCATGCTTTTTTTTAATCGAAAATTGAAATATATTCGTGGGAATGAGAGGCACACTTTCATTGCGTTTGATTTTTCAGGATCAAGGACTCGAAGAGCGTCATTTAATTTCACTTGACACTCATTTCACACTAGTTTTAAGATTATAAATTCCGTTCCTTATTTTTCATGAATTAATTATACGGTATGTCCGTCAGCGGAAATGTTTGTGACTTTGAGTCATGAGACTCATGACAAAGTGGTTTGAACTGTTTTGTATGCGGTTATTATTTTGAAAGCCTGAATAGATTTTATGGGGTTCAAAAGGCAGTTTTTCACTAAGGGAGATCCATTAAGAAAATTAATCTTGCTGCATTTTTCGATTTTTGACACTTTTCATCATACAGCTTCTGATTTTAAATATTCATTTTGACTATAGTGAAACTAGATGCAGTTGTAAAAGTTCTAGTTTATGAACTTATTCTTGAGTGTGGCCTACTCTTGAGTGTGACCTGGCTAGTGTCCGGTTCTTACGCCATGTATCTTTCAAAATTTGACTCAATTTATGTCTACTTGTTCGAAAAATTATGAGCATATTTTCAAGCCAGATTGATGGATTCATGATCGTTAATCATTCAAGCTATGAATAACTCTTAATTTTTTGCTGCGTTCTTACAAAGCGATCGTCGAGTTATTTTGCTTTTTACAAGTATCACAGTGTCTTGCATTTTAGTAAGCTCAGAAAAAAATCAGTGCTTGAAACTGGCGAGGCCATCTCTTCATCAATTTTAGTAGAACACTTTCCGATTTCAAAATGTACTCTACTTAAATTTCTCCATTTGCTTACTCGGTGGAAGAACGATTTACACAAGAAAATCCTGCGCCAGATAAATACGGCTGACCTGATTACGGATGGTTATTCGATTTGAAGGACAGAAATTAAATTCATTTGTCTTGTGATGAGACATACGTAAACCGAAATTGAAAAAATATTTTGAATCTGCGGCTGTCAGTGTCAAATTCAGTAGGTTTATTGTAAATGTCACGAGCCTGCAAGCATTGAAGTGACAAAGCTTTTGATGTTGACGCACTTGTATTTACTCGAGAATCGCGCGACACAGCAAAAATCCTCTGCAAAAATTTTACACAAACCTCTAAAAATCCTTCAAGCTCTATTTTAAATCCAAATTTTGCTGTGTTTCGGAACGGCACACATCTTCTAAATATACTGTTTACTTACAAAAAGTAGTGCGTGTGATACACGAGCAAATACTTGGCGCATGAATTTATTTTTGCACGTCGCTTCGCGGCATTTAGCACACTGAAATACGAATGAGTCTAACTAAACCTCGTGACGAAGTTTCATCAGACGTCCAGAGCGACGCCATCATCAATAACACGTGCAAGAATCAGTGCCAACTCATAATGTTGACACACCATCGAACGAACAATCACAAATGCGTACATCAAACAAAGAGTATCCGTGTTTGTCAGAGGAGAAAGAAAAATATTATGCGACAAGGACGTGTGTGGTTACTGTGTATAGTGAGCATGTATCAGCAAGAAAACTCACCCCTTCTGGCGGCAGAATCTATGCGCACCAAGTTTAAGGTTATTTTTTGAATTTTGAAAACGTGGTTTTTTAGATTAATTTTTTAATCTACTAAATTTTTTCAATACTGAGTTCCTGAAAAAATAAGGAACAAAATGCAAGTGCCGATATAGACGAGTAAGGACGGCAAGATCATAAACTAGAACTTTTACAACTGCATCTAGTTTCACTATAGTCCTCCCGACATTCCTCAAGCCTGCCAACGTTGTTAACTTTTATCGGAAAATTCAGAGATTAAAAGTTACTAAATGACGATCAGAGATTCGTTGCGTTGATCTTGAGATTTCTTTCTTCTTTTAAAATCTAATATAAAATGTGTTTAACCGAGTAGAAGCTGTCAACGTTGATTCTTTTGTTCAGGTTTTCCTGTCCGTCGACAGTTTCGTCACCGACCGCTTCATGCACGCGGAAGTGCGGTTATCACTCCGACTTGAACCCCAGTTTCGCGGTTATCAGTTCTCGGTCTTTTGATGGTTTCTCACGAAATGGGTGACTATGAATAATGGTCTGAGATTCGAACATGTTTTTCAACAAGATTCTTTTGCTGTAAAAAATCCGTTCACACGTGGCATCGATTTTTGAAACAAGAACGCTGATATTCTCTGACGCTCTGCAAACGACATCACGACCGAATTCTATCATTTCGACGACAATTTCCAGACAAATTTTGGTATTTGTTCTCTTCTGTCAAGGTACACGAATTTGCCTCTTTAGACTCTTCCTTATCTCGGCATAGTTTCCCATGATTCGAATAGACAGTTAAACTCACTAAACTAAAATTTTGTGCAAATTTTTGAACAGACTTAGCGAAAGCCCTTTGTTATCTGAGCGCAAGACGTTAGAAGTAATTAATGGTTCACGCTTCTTGTTCAACGAGGTTCTTATTATCTTCAACAACCGTGGAAGAGTATTTCCGACCTTAAATTATGACGTACTAGAAAATCTCCATAAAAATTTGAATATTTTATTCATATTATCATCACGAGATGCCGCCCCACTATGGACACATAGTTTCATACTGTGATACTCCCCAACCTATTTTCAGAAAATGTTTTCTTTGTAAGAACGCTTCTTCTTTGACAAACTTTCACCAATCATCGCATGTTTGACGCATTCATGTTTTTTTAAATCGAAAATTGAAATATATTCGTGGGAATGAGAGGCACACTTTCATTGCGTTTGATTTTTCAGGATCAAGGACTCGAAGAGCGTCATTTAATTTCACTTGACACTCATTTCACACTAGTTTCAAGATTATAAATTTCGTTCCCTATTTTTCATGAATTAATTATACGGTATGTCCGTCAGCGGAAATATTTGTGACTTTGAGTCATGAGACTCATGACAAAGTGGTTTGAACTGTTTTGTATGCGGTTATTATTTTGAAAGCCTGAATAGATTTTAAGGGGTTCAAAAGGCAGTTTTTCACTACGGGAGATCCATTAAGAAAATTAATCTTTCTCCATTTTCGATTTTTGACACTTTTCATCATGCAGCTTCCGATTTTAAATATTCATTTTGACTATAGTGAAACTAGATGCAGTTGTAAAAGTTCTAGTTTATGAACTTATTCTTGAGTGTGGCCTACTCTTGAGTGTGACCTGGCTAGTGTCCGGTTCTTACGCCATTGATTTTAAATATTCATTTTGACTATAGTGAAACTAGATGCAGTTGTAAAAGTTCTAGTTTATGAACTTATTCTTGAGTGTGGCCTACTCTTGAGTGTGACCTGGCTAGTGTCCGGTTCTTACGCCATGTATCTTTCAAAATTTGACTCAATTTATGTCTACTTGTTCGAAAAATTATGAGCATATTTTCAAGCCAGATTGATGGATTCATGATCGTTAATCATTCAAGCTATGAATAACTCTTAATTTTTTGCTGCGTTCTTACAAAGCGATCGTCGAGTTATTTTGCTTTTTACAAGTATCACAGTGTCTTGCATTTTAGTAAGCTCAGAAAAAAATCAGTGCTTGAAACTGGCNTGATGGATTCATGATCGTTAATCATTCAAGCTATGAATAACTCTTAATTTTTTGCTGCGTTCTTACAAAGCGATCGTCGAGTTATTTTGCTTTTTACAAGTATCACAGTGTCTTGCATTTTAGTAAGCTCAGAAAAAAATCAGTGCTTAAAACTGGCGAGGCCATCTCTTCATCAATTTTAGTAGAACACTTTCCGATTTCAAAATGTACTCTACTTATTTCTCCATTTGCTTACTCGGAGGAAGAACGATTTACACAAGAAAATCCTGCGCCAGATAAATACGGCTGACCTGATTACGGATGGTTATTCGATTTGAAGGACAGAAATTAAATTCATTTGTCTTGTGATGAGACATACGTACATCGAAATTTTAAAAATGATTTTGAATCTGCGGCTGTCACTGTCAAATTCAGTAGGTTTAATGCAAATGTCACAAGCCTGTAAGCATTGAAGTGACAAAGCTTTTGATGTTGACGCACTAGTATTTATTCGAGGATCGCGCGACACTGAGCAAAAATCCTCTGCAAAACTTTTACACAAACCTCTAAAAAAAACTCCTTAAAGCTCTATTTTAAATCTAAAGTTTGCTGTGTTTCGAAATGGCACACATCTTCTAAATTTGCTGCTTACTTACAAAAAGTAGTGCGTGTGATACACGAGCAAATACTTGGCGCATGAATTTATTTTTGCACGTCGCTTCGCGGCATTTAGCACACTGAAATACAAATGAGTCTAACTAAACCTCGTGGCGAACTTTCATCAGACGTCCAGAGCGACGCCATCATCAATAACACGTGCAAGAATCAGCGCCAACTCATAATGTTGACACACCATCGAACGAACAATCACAAATGCGTAAATCAAACAAAGAGTATCCGTGTTTGTCAGAGGAGAAAGAAAAATATTATGCGACAAGGACGTGTGTGGTTACTGTGTATAGTGAGCATGTATCAGCAAGAAAACTCACCCCTTCTGGCGGCAGAATCGACTGCAATCTGCACACGGGGCAGGTCAGAGTCAGGCTGTTGTCCGGCGTGGACTTGGTCAAACAAGTCAAGCAAAACGTGTGCAAACAGGGAAGAACCTTGAAAATCGGAGGAAAAAATAAGAAGAACAAATTAAACGATTATCTAGCCCCGCCCATTGAAACCGGCAAACTGCAAATAAGGTATTCAGACAATGTTTTTATACTGAATTCGCGTTCGAAAACAGCAACCATTTCAAAGCAAATGAAATTGGCAAAACGCGAGGAAAACTTTCAAATCCAATCGTTGGGAGTATACGACGAATGGTAAGAGCATTTTGCGATGGATCAGAATAATAAATCGAAAAGGGATGTTTTTAAATGAAAAAGCCTTCCCGTCCCAGTACCTCATGGTTCAGGAAAATGAAAATATTTTTTATGCTGCTAGATAAACATTCGAATCACTTTCAATCATTTTGAGTATGATAAATCAAGTGCATTGCAAACCCATCATTTTTCCTGAACTCATGAATATTTCATAGAAAGAAAGACACATGTAGTTCTTATTTGAATCCGTTTTTATGCTGGATTTTAAATTCTTTGAAACCAATGATAGATACACGTATAATTAAGGAAAATTTAATCCATCTCAATTCCTCTAATAATCAAAAATATATGGGTTTATGTGACGTCTTCACACAAGTGTACTTGAAAATAATTTAGGTAATTCGGAATTATATTGCAAAATAATTTAGAATTCATTTAGAATAGTTCTCAATGCACGGGAATTTGCAAGATACATCTGATTCACCAGATTTAAAAATCAGAATGAATATGAATTGTCATGTATAGGTCCCTTACCAAATTTTTGAGACTGCGTCACACTCCAAACTGTAGCACATCTCACTTCGCGTGTCTGACCATTACCAAATATTAATTAGTATCCTTAGATTCAAATATCCTGCAGATCTTACATGACAGAATCATGTACTTCAAATGCTTCGTCTTAAATCAAATTGTATAAATAAGCCCCTCACGAATTCGTGTACCACAACTCACGCAATAATTAACCAAGACCGGGATTTCACAGTTCACACGCGCAGTGATCGCACAAGGTCAAATATTAATCTAACCTCACTTTCGAAATTTTCCTGACATATTCACAAATGCCGTAATACTCTTTTAAAACAAAAAAACAGGTAGACTCGACACAAGGTTCACCGAAAGCTGGAGGCACCTTGACGTCACAAGGAAGCGACACTGTCGTCGTCGACTCACGCGGGCACGAAAGTTCCCATCTGCATTATTTTTCTCACTGCACCGTTAGGTCCTCTGTGCAAGGGTAACATGATTTTCGAAGTAAATAATTGTATTCAATTCGAATTTCTTAGCTATATTTGACCTCAGCAAAAGCTCACTCGTCTATGCGTATTTTTTCTTCGAAATTTAACTGTACTGATGTATTCAGAAGTCTGACTGGACTTACAATTATTCCTAGTTTTCATGTGCTAATATTCAATTCCCTTGAGCATAGGCCACAACCTGATTATAGACATACGTTTCAAAATAAAAAAAATACATATCTAGGTTACCGAAACGAGCGGGATTTTGCAAAGAAAATGGCATTACAAGCATTAAAAAAAGCATTGAATCCGCGAACTTTTATCTAACTTATTGGATATATGCCGCTGTTCTGGTATCATATTCAACAGATTTCTAGCTTATTTATTCGATCTCTTCCAATATTTTAAACTACAAGGTGTCATTTCTTTCATCTTTCAGATCAAAGTCAGCACGAAGCTGCGATATTATCTAAAAAATACATGTATGTATCTTTTCAGAAATCAATGCAGTGATGTCTTGTACGCATTACGAGCAAAATCCCAACCGGGGCTTCAATTTGAGAGGAATTTTTGCGGAAGATGTTCGACACAGTAAAGTAGATTGATTCCTTAAAATTCGTCTGAAAAATATGCGACATGTATTCCAGTAGCACCTTTTCACAACAAAACGTTTAAACCTTTAAAAAAGGTGATTTGTAAAAAAATCCTTGAGACGCGTCGAAATTAAAGTACAGTATGATTGAGGCTATTGGATGGACTTCAGTATTACTGAATAAAAAATCCTTGTAAACATTAATCCGTTATAACGATATTCTGCTGCACTTGCAGAGCTCTTTCTGATATATAATGTGGCAGAGTAAGAGTTCAAATAGGACCTGAGGTAACGACCCATTTTTATATTCGGTATTATATTTCTTCGCTTGGGGCGCGATCATATGATACAGTACAGTATATGTATTCTTGAAGCCTTGTTCTTCGTGCAGGAGGAACTACGGAGTTGTCTGCGACGAGTGCCTAACCTGTTTCACTCGCCATTGTCATCAATCAGCCCTTGGTGAAGTTTTATGAAACCCAGGCATTGTTTGGGCAACAAAAACCGGGAACCGCGAAGGGAAACCACGGATGACTTCGTTCCGTGATCGAGAAGCGGCGACCGCGTTTCCCGGGCTTTGATCAATTATGGAAAAGATATTCGAGAAACCGTCGTGCTGCTTGCTAACACGGGGAAAGGATTGCTGTCGACCCACGAAGTTGTCTAACCTCCCTCTGAGCTTATTTTATTTTTTATTTTTTCCATTACAGAATGCCTACATGATTTTCCCTGTCGTTCCTCAGATGAAGGGACACATGTTCGAGTGCATTTACGAATAGGTTTGAAGTTAAATCAAAGATTCAGTCTTGGTTCTCCTCCTACTATTGACATTAAACCGATCGAATTATGCGCAGTTGGAATTTTTCGAAAAATGCTGAGCAAATCCACAGCAAAAGGTGAGGGTGAAAAAGGAAACAGTGAGGCAAGATTCTAACGCCACTGCAATACTTTTATCGATATCTTCATCGCACTCAATTGAAAATTAATCGCCGAAAAACGTTGAAAATTTATCGAACTACCCTGAAGTATTATCCCCGTGTAGGTCTGGCTAACAACAAATGATGAAGAAAATACGCAAAAACGGGAAATAATTCGAGAGAACCCCCTCAACTCTCGCAAGGAAAAATGTGGTTAATTTTGCGCAAGCGTGATTTTTTCAGAAGTCTGTGCTGGTCATACATCAATTCAAATAAAACCGAGAAATAGTATCTCAATGAAAGAAAACTGACTGAACTTTAATTAGTGGCCTGAAACCTTCATAAAACAGGACAGTTCGAGTATCGATAGATTTTTAGGCTCACCCAGCACTTCAGGAGAAAATACTCATTGGTTCAATTACGAAGAAGGAATTCAAAACACATCTGGAAACAGCAATTTAACCAGTTTTTTTTTACGCACATCTGAGTCACTTGGGTGCTTTTCCTGGCACCAGACAACCTATAACGTAGCAAGCAATTGAAATATCAAACCCAGTTTAGGAGATTATAAACAAAGTTTCAATGTGACGGAGATACAAGGCGATTATTTTCTTCCACCACGCTGTGGTGTCATCTAAAAACGTTTCATTGACAATTTTAAAACGTTCCCAAACACGGTGAAATATTGTCGATTTTAGAAAAAATTACGGAAACATTTTTATTTTGACAGTTTCACGCGCCATTTATTGTCAAACAGATGTATGAAATCGTCACTAGCTTCCACACTCATATACCATGAGTCAATAAATTCACGGATTAGCATGCGGACAAAAATCTTTGAAAAAATATTTTCGCACTTATTGGCCGCGCCGGAGCTCACCAAAATCACGAAGTTTGAAAACGGCAGAGCTTTAACTGAGTTTTCAAAACTTCCTGAGCAATTCACCTCCGTTATCGAGGAAATTACAGAAGTAATACCTAATTTGCATGCATCTGTCAAACCTTCCGAGTTTCCCGCATGATAAAAGAAAAACCACAGAGCTCGTCATAATTGTCCTTATGCTAAAGACACGTCACATTATTCATGTAAAACATTTCCGGAATACAAATTTTTTTTTATATAGCGTATCCTTGGCCTCGCGGAAGCCATAAACAAGTTGATCAGGGGCACAACGCTTCCCACCATGAGCCAGCCAGATTTGAATTTCACTGACAGCGCCAAATGCATGAATATAGAATCTACTTGAACATAAACAAAGATTTATCCAGGGACTTCTAGCAAGTTCAAGGGATTGAATGTACTTCGGAAGCACGCACTTCCGATACTTCACGCTTGTAAAAAATTGTGACGATCACGCGAACCTCTCGCAGATGAGGAGCAGCCAAAAAATATTCATCTAGCAAAAATTATCCCTCATTATTCTTTTCTCAGTAAAAAAAAAAAAAAAAAGGCTGGTGAATTTGAGACGAAGCGCGTAACTTGCACAGCAGTTGTACATCAGAAATTCCATCGCAGAGGCTGGACGCAAACGTGTACAAATTTTCAAGTGACAATATATGCTAAATCACTAGCCATTTGAATGAAAAACTCGAGGCATGACTTGAAATTATACACAGTTCACGGGAAATTAAATCTTGCCGGGAATTTTTCGACCATTACTTTGGAAAACACGGAAAAAGCGCCCAAATGCGTTTTTAAGCGGTCAATTTCTGCATCCGATTCAAATCATGCTTCAAATTTGCCTTTTTTTGCATGGGACGAACAATTAACAATCATTTGCGAAATACTGTACTCTACACATTCACTATTTAGACGATTATGTATAAAATATGAGGGTATTGAGTATATCCCACCCAATACAGTGCATTATTTTACATTTTAACGCTTGACTCTTTTACGAACTGCGATAAGTCGCACTCTATTCATCAAATTCGGGAAAAAATGCGACTTTCTTTCGAAAATCATTTAAATTCATCATTTATCCATTTTAAAAACGAGTTTAGTTCGGCAAATGTCGACAACATTTTAAAATTTCCCACGCACAGCCAGCACATCAGGAATGTGACTACGCTTCCCGCCTAACTTTCAAATCTTATTTATTCATGAATGCGCCTTCAAACGTATAAATTATGCCTGAGGCGTAAAATCATTTTCGCCGAAGGCTCAGAATATCCAGTTTGATGCGTCATCGTTTCAGTGAACCTACTGCGAATCTTTTCCAAGGTTATGAACCATAATCGTTGCACTGGAATGGCAAATTTTCTATTGACTCGACATGTAACGGAATACATTACAAGGAAGATAAATTTTTGCATCTACGACGTCAAACAGTGCTGCACCTGTTGCAAGTACTTCCGAAAGAAACGTTCAGTACGCAATAAATAGGAATGGTTTCCCCGTTTTTCTCAAAGACATCCATCACCACTATCGTCATCTCATTGTCAATCTCGACACAAAGGAGAATGAGGTGCACTTTTATTTCATGTGTGCAACTGTCAACATGCAATCGCATTCACGAGATGATAAATCTGACGAGGTTTGATTTCATCTCTTTCCAACGAAGCTCTGAGAATTGTATTCAAAGGACGAAGTTCCTACAAAAAACGGCATTATTTCCTTGATAATAAAGCCTTTCAATTTATTACGCCGCACTTCATTTTTTTCATAAATTGCTTAAGAAAAAAGCACAACTTCGAAATTTTTTTTGAATGATCAGAATTCCTCGTTAGACAAGCCTCGAATCTTCGGAAGGTTAAAAATAACAATTGCTTGAATTTTAAAATGCTTTTTCTTCTATTCCAATCTTACGCTTCTCAATTTTTATTTGCACCAGCTGTAAAGGTTCCATGACATAAAAATTCCAAACGTTGTCTAAATTAAGCGTGTACAGAAGTTCATTAAAAATCACCGTGATTTTTGAAATACTCGAAGATCACATTAAAAAGAAATACTGTAGCTACATGAACAAATTATTAAACTACTCGAAGACGTCAGAGAAGATTAAAATAAACTCTGATTGTGTGGAAAATTCTCTGAGCTGAAATACCAAGAAATTGAACTTTACGGTTTCAGGATTTATTGAAACATTTTGATCTGCTCCTGTGAAGGTTTAGCCGTTTAGTTTCTCGTCAGCATTATAAAATACCTGGACTACCTGCTTTTCCGTCGCAGTGAATAAGGGAAATACTGATGGAAAACAAGTAAATCCTATAATATTCGGATTGAAAGCATTAAACAACCTAGAAAATCCCAGATAAAACGTTGAAAATCTCGAGAAGTTATCGATGAAAGAAAAAGTAATTCTCACGAGGAAAAATCAATTGCACATGTGGGTGAGCCAAAATGTTAACAAGTAAAACTTGAAATTCAAGCCGCTATTTAAAAAGCACCTAAAGAGGAAATGATGAATTTGACATTCTCTAGTTCTAGCCTATTTTCTTTGCATTAAAAGATACAAATTCTTTCGGAATGAAACGAGGTTCAAGCGATATACTGTACACAATTTGCTAGCAACGTATCATGCATATTTTTGGAAGCTGGACTATAGAGCACAATAGTTCGAAACGGTTTCAAGTCAAGATCATGTGCTTGATTTTATTTACATATCACAAACTATATTTTTTGGGAATTACGCAAAATTTTAAAACGATGCTCGATGATTATTTTATGAATATCGCTCCTTTACGCTTGCTCCAATGTGCAGACTTAACCCTGAATTTCAGACACGTATTTCAGAAGAAAACAGCTACACTATAAAAGAGTAAAATTCAAATATTTTAGCGTTCTGAAATAATCACGTCGAAAAATCAGCAGAGGTTGATTGTATACGATTTGAAACATCGAGACACTGGTTTATTCCATCCTTCAAATCCTAGGGAGCTTTCTGCAATACATTGCGACACACGAAAATATTGATTAGGAGATGAACCACGGGGAGTACTTTATTGAATTAACAATTTCTCGTAAGAGCGTGTGGCATAACAATTAAAGCATTACAGTACTCACATTCAGTTGGATAAAAAACTCGAAGCTTTTACTAATTCCTATATCGCAAGCAAAACACATTCGATCCACAGTCAAGAAAGGTGCTCCAATCCCCCGCGCAATTTCACAGTCAAAGCATGGCCATCACGTGCGTCCATGTTGAGAGCGAGATAAATAAATTTATGCTCGCACACAATATTTATTTTAAAAACAATAACACAACACCGGGGACCAGGGAGTCGCAGCAGGATGATGCGTTTCCACCGCACCAAACCACGCATCGAAGTCATCAGTGCAAAATGGTCTCAGCGGGGCCCACACACACACACAACTGATACCATTATATAGGCATTCTCACAACAGCCTGTGATGATGCTCTGGTTTTCATTCCCCGGTCACACGCGATCCGCACTGAAATCAACGCGACGAGCAGAGCAGCAACAAGCGAAGGAATGAAATTTTTTCCGCGGCGACCCAGCAGACAAAAAATAACCGCGCGGCGGTTCGCATTCAACGCGCAACTGACAGCGGCTCTCACGCT